GAAGCACGCGGGTGGTGGTAAAGTTGATGATACGCTGAGGACCGATCATAGCAAAATACCTTTTACAGCTCGGAGCGAAAAACCATCGATACCAGCTGTTTTGGGGAACTTCATACGTCCAGTGGTCTTGGATAGCTCCGGGGACAGCAGGGCGCAGCATGAGGACTGACGAGCAGCCACGAGGAGGACTCCGCCCGAGCGTGCCCCAGCTAACGGGGCGGCCGACCTCAGTTTGCAATTCGTGACCAAACACACACAAAATGTCCGTTGAAGAGGTTGAAAGGCTGGAAGTTGGCAATGGGAGAGTTCGGCTCAGGTCTAGATCAGGTCAGGTCTGGATAAGGCCAGGTCTAAAACGGGTGCGTTTTAGATCAGGTCAGGTCTAGACTCCGTCAAGTCGTCGTGACTGTTTGATGCGAGAGCGTAGGCTGGCTGCGTGAGGCCCAGGCCATTCAGAATCCGCTTTGAGCCTTGCGCTCCTGCGCTCTTCCGCCTGCGCCAGCTTATGTTGAAATAAATGCGCAATCAGTTTATTCCTCTTCCAAATATTTGCACCGCACATGATCAGCACAAACCGAGGGTCTTTTTCGCAGCCGCACGTCTCTGCTGAAACAACTCCAATAGTTTAGAGAGCTCAGCTTAATCTCACGAGTCTAAACATACAGTCACCTAAAAATCATCTGGTCAGACCACCGCAGGCTTTTCGCCACAAAACAACAAAACACGGACTGCACTCATCACAACATTCGTCCCAAACGCGCTGTCCCAGCGACGCTGGGACAGCGCCGAAGCGTTATGAAGAGCATCGCCAACGGCGGTCATCGCGCCGCCCCGACATCCTGTGGCGACGCTCTCGTGCGGTCACGACTGGAGGTCGAAGAGAGGGCATCCCGTGGGGACGCTCTCGTGCGGTCACGACACAAGGTCGAAGAGAGGACATCCTGGAAATCTTCGGGGGCAGTCACCAACATCCGCTCCCGGCCCGTTCCAGCGGGCCAGCACCCTGCCAACAGCCAAGACTTCACTTCAGGTCCAACACTTCACTTAAGCCGGTGGAATGGGGGAGGGAAACACTATGGCTGCAAGTGAAAACAAAAGAGTCATAAAAGTAGGTGGCATAATAGCATATAACGTAAGGAAGGCTCTTTTGATTTAGTACATGTGGCATTGTTACCTCCGTCGGCTGACTCATTTACCGATGGCTGGTACCGTCCGTTCGCAGATACATTTTTACACAAATATAACAGCCCAATCGTAACCACCCTTTGCGAGATATTGTGAAAGCAAACCCCACCCAGGTTACATGCAATCAAGAGCCAGGATGGCAATACCGAATGAAAAGTTTGAATGGAGTCAGTAACACACCTGTCTCCACGTAAGCATCAAGCAAAGCTGAATTAGAAGAATGTGCCGGAGTACGGCTGCAGCGACACATAGATTGAGAGCGTCGTTGAAACAACTCGCGTAGACCAATCTCGTACCGGCGCAAAATACCAGTCAAACGAAAAACGAAGATCAAAAGACCAATCAAACGACAAATGCGGATTAAAACGAAATACGCGCCTACCTGGTGAGCGCGATCTGCAGAGAAGAAGGTAGCTGGCTGGCCATCTCGCAGGCCGTCCGCACCAGACACTCGGGTAGGCGGTGAACATGTCGACCAGCCACTGCGACATTTGGCTGCTGGCTGTTTGCGCCGGGCTCGTGCAACCGCACGGCGCCGCCTCCTGCAGGTAGCTGGTGATGTTGAGGGGGTCCCGAGAGCCACCAAAGCTGTCCAGTTGTCTTCCGATGATGCCCCCTCCGCCGCCACCACCACCGCCACCGCCGCCGGCAGCGGCATTGTTATTATTGTTGTTGTTATTATTATTATTATTGTTATTATTGTTGTTATTGTTATTGTTATTGTTGTTATTGATGTTGTTGATGACGTTGATGACGGTGTTGAAGCAGATGAGAAGGAAACTGAGGAAGCCGAAGGTGGAGAAGCTGCTGCCCTTCGACGGACAGCCGGAAGAGCCGTGCTCGCCGGATGAGGAGCGAGCGAAGCCCGTGTGCGCCCCAGGGTCCAGCACTGCCCTGACTCCGGCTGACGAGGCCGAGCTCAGCAGCAAGGCCGGCACCAGCAGCACAAGAGTGCGGCCGACCGCTCCGCGTGACGCCATGGTGCCGACTCGGGCGGCGGCAGCGGCGGCGGCGGCGACGGCGGACCGTTACCGGCGGGCCGGCGCTCGCTCCGTTACCCTGCTGCTTAACGGCGTCCGCGGAGGGTTCAAAGATACAGGTGTCTTCTGAAGAGGCGGTAGATGCTATGCGAATGATTCGTTCGCCGGGACTGGTCGCGATCAATAGCGCGCTGGTCCGTTGGTGCAGAACAGCTCTAGCCTACTAGTCCGGCTGCTGCGGAATCCGTCTCCGCCAGTGCCGGCTGGTGAGACCTACTGGCTTATGGCTCTTGGCATCAGAGAAGATCTTGGATGTTTGTATATGTGTGGCGACCAGCCGAGCAGGACTTTCAAGTCAGCCATCGATTGTTTATGCTGTTACCAAGCGTCCTCGTCGTGGTAAGATGTGCAATATGGACAGAAACTTCTGAAACTTCTGTATGCTTGCCAGTGATCTGAACGCATTTGTGAAAAATTGTACTAGAGAGTTATTAGACTTTGTTGATCAAATTGCAAAGTCTGACCACCAGCAACTTCTAGCTATGATGTTAGTGGATTAGCCTGCATTTATCACATCATTGGAGCTCCGTCTATTATGTTATAGTGAACATGATGCGTCATATAGTGATACGGTCGTACTTACGTGTGTAGATCTTATATATATATATATTATATATATATATATATTATATATTAATATCTATATTATATATGTATATATATATCTATATAATATAATATATACACACATATATATATATATATATATTATATATGTTATATATATATATAGATATATATATATATATTTCTTATATATATGCATATATATATACCATATCTATATATATATAATATATATATATATATATATATATTATATCTACCTATATATATATATATATATATCTATATATATATATATACTACTATATATACTATATATATATATGTATATACTATATAACCATATATATGTATTATATATATATATATTAATATATTATATATATATATATAGATATCTATTATATTATACATATATACATATATGTATATATATACACATATATATATATATATATATATATATATATATACATATATTTACAAAGGCATGACAATCTTTAGCAGCTTATCCGTAGTCCTTTCTTACGTTCGGATAACAAATCTAGTTTAGTTGAGTAAGTTGTAGGTTGCCTAGTGTACAATCTAAGATTATTCATAACGATGCAAATTGTTTTATTGAAACGCACTCAAACTAGATGTTTATGCTTTTGGTAATCGCAGTTGGTATGTTAACTCTTCCATATGTTGTCACACTGTGATGAGGATCAATTATGTTTTGAGATATAAGCAACTATGTCTAAAAGAAAAATTCTTCCTCAGGTAGCGAATACACACACGCACACACACACACACATATACATACATATATATGCACATATATATACATATATATATATATATATATATATATATATATATATATATATGTATTTATGTGTGTGTGTGTGCGTGTATCTATTCGTTACCTGAGGAAGAATTTTTCTTTTAGACATAGTTGCTTATATATCAAAACATAATTGATCCTCATCACAGTGTGACAACATATGGAAGAGCTAACATACCAATTGCGATTACCAAAAGCATAAACGTCTAGTTTGAGTGCGTTTCAATAAACAATTTACATTGTTATGAATAATCTTGGATTGTACACTAGGCAACCTACAACTTACTCAACTAAACTAGATTTGTTATCCGAACGTTAGAAAGGACTACGGATAAGCTGCTAAAGATTGTCATGCCTTTGTGTATATATATATATATATATATATATATATATATATATATATATATATATTTATATATGCATGCGCGTGTTAACACACATCCGCGTGGCCAGTTGAATGCCCATCTCCCGGGCGGGAGGGTCAATTTGAACACCCCTAACTGAATCACCCCTAAAAATCTGATCTAAAAAAACTAAGGAAGCTAGAGACATCAAATTTACAGGATGCATTGTCTCGTATGTGAACTCACTTGTCCCAAGATCTAAGGCTCCTAAGCAATAATCTTTGTGTTAAATAAGATCAAACAGGGTCAAACTCCGGGCTGGTGTTTAAAGTGTCCCCGGATCTCCTCGTGCAACCGCTTTGGACCTACCTACCTTCCCTGAGCAAAAGGTCACTGGTGCTCATTTTAGGTCAGTGACCTACCCTGAAATTTAAGAGGTCCATGAACGATGTCTTTTGCGGGTCCCTGTTTTAAAACTAGAAATAGGTAGAAATAGGCACCAATCTACCTAATATAGCAAGCTTTTCCATTAAAAAAGCGAGCTGGTCTGGTCTTGGTATAGCCTTCATACCTGACCCAAGGTTAATGGAATTTATCGTAGTCATAGATCATACTGTTTAATTGTCTTAAAAACAATCTCGACGATGTATGGCTTCGTCTAGCACTCAGTTGGCGCATCAGATCGGACAATGCCCCGGAAAATGACTTGGCTTGCCAGCCATCGACTAAATGGGATTGATCTGGGTCGATCTGGGATTCATCTGTCACTTTGCTCCACTTCAGATGGGTAAACGATCCTGACATATCATTTATTAACTATTGCGCAACTTGTTTTCAAAATAATGCAACACGGTCTTATCGGAACACCGACATGGCCCGGACATCATCGTGCATCAGCTTCACCGGGCACTTAAATAACTTCCTGCACGCATTTCCCAGGGGCGATATACAACTAAAATAATGCCCACCGTTGTATGGCTCCAGCAACTCAGCAAAACATTGCATCGTCTGAAACAGCAACTATGTCCCGTCTGCATACTCGCTATCTGTCCATTCGCCGCCGCCAGAGAGACGAACAACGGCAATCACGCAGATTGCATCAATTATGCGACAGCCCGGTATGCATTGACAGTAGCCCGGTACAATATTCAGATGCAAAACAGCAGCGACACGAGGGACAACGGCTGAGGAACTTTTGGGAGAAGCTGGGGACGAGCACCACAGCTGAGCTGTGCGGCTGAACGCCTCACACATCCACTGATCGACGAGTACAACGTGAACGTGTGGTTCGCGGAGTTCTGCCGGTACAGGTCCGTGTTGCCAGGGATTCACCGATACGCAACCAGACGTAGCCCTGCTGGGTGTTATTGCTGTTTCTTGCCATCAGTGCCACCTCACGGTCTGCCTCCTTACAAACATTCTCGAGAACTCCCGGGTGACCCGATGTTCCACGACTGCAGCGTGCGGGAGGGCGCGTCCTAGCTCGTGTCGGCGTCGGCGTGCCCGCCTGCCGAGCTTGTCGCCGTCACAGAAGCCGACACTGGAGCGGGTAGCAGTTGTGCCGCTGGCGGCCGAAGCGCGCCGCCTCGGTGACATCCGACAGCGACAGCTGCGGCTGGAACGCCTCGGCTAACAGGAAGCTGGACGCCGAACTAGAACGAGCACAATGCAGCATACAGGTCTCCCCGAGCCCTCCGAACAGTTGTCCCCGCAGCAGGGAAACACGAAGGTGTACTGTTCAGTCAGACTCGCTATGAACGGCACGGTGTTTGCTCGGGGGTAATGACGGCGGACGTGTTCGTCTGAGCTACGCCGTGATTATTTGTCGACAATCAGAGATGCGGCACGATTGATAGGTACCGCTGAAGATCGGCTTCAGTTAGTGTCTAGGATTGGTATCAGTTCGCTGTGATTCCCCATGCCTGGATGTCAGCGTTTGAAGCCGACTGGAGAGAGCATTGAAAAATATTCATTCTTACCAGGGATCTCCACAAAGCACGAAAGCAAAAGTCGAAAAAATCAAAGTCGAAAACATACCGAAATACAATTTCGGACGCACTCCGCGTAAACTAGAATTCGAAGTCTGCCATCTACGAGCATGAACAAACACACCACACACGGAACTTTTCCAATGGAACGGACCAGCAGTGAGGTGATATGAGGCCTTCACACACAGCCCTACCTTAGGAAAGTGGTCACCAGATAGGTGAGGCCCGAGTGGTGGTCGCTCATCCGATGCGTTTCACAGACGAGCCTGGTGATGCACGTCGGGTGGTGCCGCGCGATGGCCTTGCTCCACCTCCAGATCGCCTCCAGCCGCGAGGACATCACCTCGTCTAGCCAGCTCCAGCCCGACATCTTGCCCATCACCATGTTGTTGTTCATATTCCTAAAGATCATTTCGTGTTATTATGAAACCCTGAGGCGGAAAAATCACAACCAGTCTCCACCTCAGTCGAATCCTATTATGCTGACTATTATGCTGACAGGAAGTTAACGTTTACAATCAAACGATGGCGTGCATGGTTGGCCTCAGCTGTACAGTACACTTTGAGACATACCAAAGCAACACGTATTTGAGGAACAGTCACGGTAGAAGACGGTTGGGCTGACACCGGCTCTTTCCGTGTAGTATTAAACTCACATGCTATTTACGTCGACACTGTTGAGGTTGTTGTCATTGTTGTTGTTGTTGTTATCATTGTTATTGTTGTTATTATTGTTGTTGTTGATCATTGAGACGATATTGATGACGGTGTCCAGCAGTGCCATGATGAAGCCGAGGAAGGCCAGGTTGCTGTTGGCATCCCGGCCCTGCCGCGGCGGCGGCCGCCGGCTGTCGACCAGGCTCGGGTCGAAGCTCAGTCCGGAACGGGACGGCGGGAACGGCTCAGCGCCCGCCAGCAGACCCAGCGCCAGCACCGCCGCCGCCAGCCGGTAGAGCCGCATCGCGCCAGGTGACGGTCGTGGCCCACGTCACGTCACGACCAGCCGCTCGCCGAGCGCTGAAACCGACGGCCGATCTCAATCACGCGGGCTCAATCAAAGCCCGGGCTCCGGCTCGACACGGGCAGACCGTACTTCAGGACGGCCGAAATAGGCTCGTGCGGTCGGGAGGCCGCTAGCGCCCGCGGAAAGGTCACCGATCCAGTGGTCGCGAGTAATTCTGTCCACTTTGTGGGCTAAGTCGGGGATCGGTCGGTACAATCTCCGGGGACGGCATCAGCTTCCTCGGTCATCAAGGTGCGTTCACAGAGACGGACTTACGTTCTGGGACGACATTCTCGCTAGCAAATGTCTGCTACAGTTATTTGGCAGCATGGCATTGCATGTACTCTGGTCAAAAGCCGCCTGCACTTGTTGAAACCTATGCAGGTATGGACGTAGGTAAACCCGGTAACCGGACTCGAGAAATCAGGGGTACTGGAAGTCCTCCCATATTATGGAGGGCAGGCGTTAAATATTCTTAATTTTTCTGTCAACGCCCATAGAAAATGTATCAAATTTCCAAGACTTGAAGAGCTCAGTTTCTCTGCCCTCCCTCCTCCTCCCCACTGCCTCACTGGTTCCCGCGACACTGCATAGAACACGCGGTATTAGGCACTGTTACGTCGGGCAGAAGATTGTTGTTTCAACGGCCGTTCACATCCCGACTGCCGAGTCAGAAATCGAGCCTCGCAGCATCATACTCGCACTGTGGCGGCATAAGCCACACAAAATAAAATTTCCACATCACTTAACACACGCCTGGGTGGCCGGCTGGATACCCTTCAATCAGGTGGGGGAGATGGGGGGGGGGGGGGGCAACTCGAGAACGAAGTAAGCTGGAGATACCAAATTCACAGGGTGTGTTAACCTGCACGTAAACTCACTTAGGTCAAAGTTTGAAGTTCCTGGGCTATGAACTTCCTGTCAAATAATGTCAAACAAGGTCAAATTCCAGGTTGGTATCTACTGCCACCAGGACCTAGATAACCGTTTCTAAGCAAAAGTTTACATGCTCACTTAAGGTCAGTGACCCTGTTTGACCTTTTGAAGGTCATGGTGACCAAAATCATACAAGACTGCTCTGAGTTTTGCATTGGAATAAGCGACAAAGATTACGCTAGACGGTATGTCTCTAAAAACAAAATGTTGATCTGGGTCATTTTAGGTCAATGGCCTATTCTGCCCTCTAAGAAATCCATGGAAGATGTAGAATGCGGTTCTTGTTATCAATAAATTCGAAATGAACACCAGAAACCATCCCCTACAGTAGGCCCCAGGGTAATAAAACAGGTTGGTTTTGACCTTAGCCTGATCTTCATACCTGACCTTAGGTCAATGTTATTTGCTCATTCAACTGTTGTGCTGCCTAAGAAAGCATCTCAGAGATGTATGGCTTCGTATAATACCCCGCTGTTGCATCATATGGAACGATTCCCTAGAAGTTGACTTGCTGAAACCATGGCCTAAATTTGACCTGCCATAGGTCAGCGACCTTATAAGGTAGATCTGAACTTTTAAAGCAAACGATCCGCTATTCAATTGTCTACAGCTATGATAAATGTGGCGCGGCCACGCCGCGCCGTTCGGAAACCATTCTGGGGGGGGGGGGGGGGTTGGAAGCCTTCTGGGGTGGGGAGGGGGGGGGGCAGTTTGACCCCCACCTGAGCGCGTGTTAATGTCCGCGCCTGCTGTCGTATGGGGCAATCCTGTGGTGACGTACGGATCCTACATGCCTTTTGAGGTTTATCACTTCATCGCTCACATCTCACCACAAAATTCATCAGCAGTCGGTATATGTCTCCTTCTGAGGACATTTGTTGCAACGATACACATCAGTTTTTGACCATGATAAACTGCTAAAAACAGCCCGTCTGGCATTTCCTTGTCTTTGGGACATAAGAAATTGTGATGCGCCTGGTTGTATCTGTGAGCCGATGTGAGCACCAACCCACGAACAGCGGGGCTGAATCGCTCCGCCTGAGTCATGCCAGGACCAGTCTTAAATGATCGTGGGTGGTACTCGTTCAGTGACTGCTCCACTCTTCGATGGGTTACAATCGCGGGAAAACTTCCTTTGCTTTAGACCTCTGAAACCGAAACCGTCGCCTTTTTAATCGGTACTTTAATGTAAAGTTTTAGGCTGTCATCTCCCTTACACATATCTGAGTGAGCTGTCAGAGAGCAGCTCGCGTTATCCTGTCGTGTCCGCAGCAAGTCAGCGTTAAAATAGCACTGTCAGTGGAGAGTGAGATGTTTTTGCCACTCCTTCGCAATGTGGGAAGTATCACTACGAAGCAAACAAACAAGAATTCGAGGCCTTACAACACTCAGCACCCATACATATTCTCTTGAGGCATTTCGGTCATGGGGTCAGCTGCTTTCCATTCCCTTCAACCGCCCCTAACGAGTTCATCTTCTCACTGCTAAGCTGTGACATGCAATCTAAAATATAATTGTTTGCGGTTGCCCCAGTGTCGCCCTGCTCCTTCTTTAAGTATAAAATGCAATTGAACGTAAAACATTGAGGAGCCCTGTGTTCGTGTTCCCCGGCCATTACGCCTGTGCTGGCATATAGTTCCGTCGGACGGCTGCCTGCATATCTATGGCAGCCATCTGAGTCTGCAGGGAGGAAGATCAGGATCCTTCATCGCGAACTCGAATACGATTGTGATATGGCATGAAATGGGGTGTGAAATGGGCACAGGCCAAATTTGCTTGCCCCTGTCTTAGGTGGCAAGAACTCCGACGCGAAGAATGAACACGGGTCCTGACATCGCCGTTTGAACCTGTACAGCTCGGTGCAGTACGCCGCGCCGCTGCGGTGTACTGCAGCAGCTTGTGCTGCACATAACCAACGACGTTGCTATGTGAATTTGTCACCGTGGTTGAAGGTAGACCCCCCCCCCATTCTAAATTCCCTCGGTTCTTTTGTTATCCATTGTTCGGCTCGTTGCCGTGCTGGCATGATATAGCACACGCGGATTTCGAGATTATACTATTCATATAGTGGTTTGGTGCCAACTGCTTGCCATTGATGACGTTCATGGCAAACGTTGCCTGATTTATAATCGTTCGGGGGAAGAGAGCTCGGGATAAAGCTATGCATTGATATATCGTAATGATCACCTTAATGATGACCAAAGGAGTGTTATACAGTTAACACCGAAGTCTCCATCCAATGATCAATAGATAGCATTATTCATTCAGCAAAATCTTATCCTAAGTTCAGAAAGATAACTGGCATGAACTAGCTATGGCATGCTAGCTAGCTAAATGACATGAACTACATGAGCTGGCATGAACTAGCTCCCCAAACTGTTTTGTAACTGTCTGCGCAGGGTGGCCCGACCCGGCCGACGGCGGCATTCTAGGCGACCGTTAACATGCTGAGGCGACGGTGGCTGTTGTTACCGCACACCATACATCCTGAGGAGCTACAGGTCCTGCGGTTATACTGTTGCTAATAATGTCAGCGCCACCAAAACAAATCTCACGCTGGGATCTTTAGGATATGGGGTCGCGCCGGCCCTGCACGCATGTTTATTCCTATAGCTACATATATGTCTGTGAATATAGACAAAGGCGTGAGACAAAACAAAAGGGGTAACACATGAGTTGATTAAAGACAAAATCGATGAGGTGGATCATGCGCTGACTTGGCTGTTTTCCAGAAAACTTTGTCGTTTGACATTTTGACGAATAACGACGTTCGAATGAAGTACATACAAATATGAAGCATCATTATCGTTTCCTGTTTACCGTTGTTAGGTTCTGTCTAGTCCAAGCCCCTCCATAGAGCTGCGAGGAAGTCAGACAGTACGATATCGTTACATCGGTAAACCTCTCAGCCAGGTCCATATATTTACGAAGTCCACGCCATTGGCCAGCACATCTCAGCCACCATCATTTCACTGATCTCCGTGGGCTACCTCAGCCCATTCAAAAGTCGAGACCTTCATCCCTCATCCACTGGGCGCAATAGCCGCGGAGGCAAAGGACTGCGCCCAGTCGTCGAGCGCGGACGCCTTTTCGGCCGCGCGCGCCCGCTTGGTCTGGGCATCACGTTATCTTCATTCATCACCGGCCCGGCGGGGCCGGGGCACGCGGCGAGGGGCGGCGTCGCGCTCCGTCACACAATGGTGGCGGTGGGGGGCAGCTCCCGCCGCCACTCGCGGCGGCGGCGTGACATTGATCAAAGGCAGGACGCCGTCACCGCGCGGCGAGCGCTTCTCCCACGCCAGGCGCGGCATGCGGCGTTCTCGACGCTCGTCGATACCGACGCTTACTGGGCGGCTGGCGGCCATTTGGCGGTCATGATGCCGTGGAGTTCACCCCAGAGAGGGAGCAGAAGGCACGGTTGCGAGTGAAGAATGGAGCGACGGTTTGCGTGCTTGCAGGCGAGCGATAGCGGCAGCGCCATGGAGGCACTAATGCAGTGATGCATCGTCGACACTGAAAGACGCATCGTCGGTCGACGATGGTGCACGCCCAGGATTGATTTTTCGCGGTAGAGCCTTGAAACCCTTCGATATTTTCGGATATTTTAACAAACAAAACTTCTTAACAAACACATAATTTTGAAGCTTTTGCCACGTTAGTGATTATGTCTGGCTACAATAGTTTGCTGTTTTGTTCAGCCGACCTTTGTCGAAATTGTCGAAATGTTTCAATATTTGACAGGACCAATATAATGGTTTCCAATTTGTATATGCTGTCATTATCTACCGGAATTACATGTGTCATCGAACACAGTGGAGCATCATCATGGAGAAAAGAAAGAGCATGTGATAAAACAACAGCTAATTATGTAGGAATAGCGAGAGCAGCCGGGCGCAGCTTTCTACCATTTAAACTCAAGAGCATTCTGGTCTGTCCTATCCTTGGTGGATGTGATGACATGCAGCATGCGTATGTACACGGGTGCTTTTCAGCTAACCTTGCGACTTGTTGGCACCTTGTCCCGGTAAATGAATGACGAATATCTCATTCGTTTGAACGTATTATGTGCACGACTTTGTAATTTCGTATTGGCTCCTGTAATTATGCAGACTGCGGGACCACTTGCTTGTTGGAATGATTTAAAATAGGCCCTAGCCTGACACCATTCACCAAACTCTTTACGAAACTCGGCTCGCCTTGAAAGCTTATTTCGGCGGGCGATCTCGCGTGCGCTTAATTTATCCCCTTAATCCTTCGCGGCTTCGCTGCATGTGGTCCGTAAGGCCATAAAACACACAGACTGGATCCATCAAGCCCTCTCCTATCAAAATTACTTCGCCGGGGTCGTTGAAAACGTTTTCGTCATGGAAGCATGTTTGAGCCTGATATTTGGCCGGCCCGCAACTGGCTTGAATGTGCATGGCACGTTCAGACCTGACCAGATGATATCATGGATATGCCCATAGCACTCGCTCCAAGCACGACAGATACCACGTTTCTCTTTAGAATCATTCCCTAATTTCCTATCAAGTATTGCGGGAGTTCGTACAGTTAAATGCGTCCCACATGCGTACCTGTGAGCACGGGAACTGGGACGCTGGAATAGCAGTTCCTGCCAAGCCGTCACCCACCGCCAGCCGCCGCCACTCGCCTCCGCCTGAAGAACAGACGCCGACCCAGCTCCCCCGGGTCTTTTCTAGCCACGGGCGCCGAGGTCGGTCACCGCCGCGTCGCCCGTCCCCGCCACCACGGCCAGCCACAGTCCCTCAAAAAACGCCGGGGGCGGCGACGGCCGACCCACGGTTCCCACGGCTGTGCCAGTCGCTTCCGGACGGCGTGGGTCCGAGACGGCCTGTTGACGCCGCCGCCAGCCTCCGGAAGCACAGCCGGGCCGGCGGCCGGCGCACGCGGCTGAGCCGGCGTCGCTATTTGTGCCGGCCCGGCCCGGTGACAGTTCTAGATGGTGTTTGTGGGGCGGGGGGGGGGGGGGGGGGGGGGCGGGTGCGCGGCGCCGCTCGGGCGACAGCCTCGGGGCTCGGCGCCGATACCGAGGTCTGACTCCCACACCACCGGCCGGCCCTGACATATTGTCGTGTTTACGCCTCGCCGGCTCCAGAGCTTCACACCAACGCCATTCACGGCTCGTCGAGCTCCAGCACATCGAGTGGGCATCACCGCGTTAGACGGGCCGTTACTAGCCTGGATCACCACGCTCGATGGGCCGTTACCAGCCTGGATCACCACACTCGATGGGCCGTTACCAGCCTGGATCACCACACTCGATGGGCCGTTACCAAGCTGGATCACCACACTCGATGGTCCGTTACCAGCCTGGATCACCACACTCGATGGGCCGTTACCAGCCTGGATCACCACACTCGATGGGCCGTTACCAAGCTGGATCACCACACTCGATGGGCCGTTACCAGCCTGGATCACCACACTCGATGGGCCGTTACCAAGCTGGATCACCACACTCGATGGGCCGTTACCAGCCTGGATCACCACACTCGATGGGCCGTTACCAGTCTGGATCAACGCGCTCGACGGGCCGCTACCAGTCTGATTTACCGCGCTCGATGGGTGTTACCAGCCTGGATCACCACACTCGACGGGCCGGTACCATCCTGGATTATTACGCTCGATGGGCCGTTATCAGCCCGGCGGGCGCAGCCTCTGTGATGTTCGGCGGAGCCTAGCTTCGGCTCCCAACTAGCCCTGCTGGGAGGCGAGACTAGGCGCGGCAGTGCACTTGCGCCAATGTTGTAGATAGCAGGCTACGTACAACGCAGTTGGGGCCACAGACCCAAGTTTCGCCACTTTGACGGGCAAGCTTAATGATTGTCGATGTGAAGAAAACATCTCCTATGCACTAGGCAGGGGAAAGACTGGCGAGGGACATGCTCCAGGGAGACGAAAAGCTTCACCTCTGTTCACTCGCCTGTTTTAGACTCCTCGTAAACAAACTTCACTATGTTACCCACATATTCTAACGACTCCCTTTCTATGCAGAGTGTATATTGTGTCCTTATCAAAATTTCCTTTTATTGAATCGCGGAGTGAATTTTCCATGGGAAAATTCGCCTTGCATAGTCATAAGGAAGTCTCAATATTGAACAATGGATTAAATTAGTACAAAATTGACTCAAGTGATCATGGCAGCTTATTGCTAAAAAGTGCAAAAAGAGTGTCGCTCCTTTCCAAATGATAAATCAAACATTTATTTCTAAAAATCGGGTGCGTTTCGCGCTGTTATTCACAGATATCAATAGCAGTAAAGGTACCTTGGACATACTATCACAACAGATATAGAGCAATACCGTCATACGGACAGCAGCAACGGGAAGGGGCATGACAGTGCTAGACAGTGCTAAAGAGCATGGCACGCACGCCTTGACGGCTGGCTGTCCGGCAGCGGCGCGACACCACTGCCAGCGGCTACATCATTTCCCATCATCCTTGCTTTCCAGTGCGCTACGTCAGCTGTGTTATGGGTAAGTTTACCCACTGATGCCGGCTGAACCGACAGCGGGGTAACATGGACGAGATCAAAAGGCATAGCAACTGTCGCACTTGACCAAACTTAGCTCGTAATCATCACTGATACACTTCAGCTCAGGTCGCATTTGCTGGTCATTCAGCACGTTCCGCCCCCCCCCCCCCGCCCTGGGGGTATTCAATTACAGCTCACCTTGCGAGAGACCGGCCAAACTTCTCCTCCGCCAAGCACTTGTGTGCAGCTGACCCCGGGTGGCGGCAGCCGGCGGCCGCGGCAGCGCCTCGCCGCTACACCACCGGGGTACCGTTACCTGCAACCCTCGCCCAGGCCGGCTCAGGTACCGGCGCAGGGGCGCTTCGGCAGCGGCGGCGCCACGGGCGCCAGAGGGCGGGCGCCAGCGGACAGTGGCATGCCGGGGTGGGCCGCGCGGCGGCACAGGCGCCGAGAGCAGGAGACGAACGCGGCGACAGCGGACGCGTCGCGAGGAGCTGCCGTGCAGGTCAGTGCAGGGATGGAGACGGAGTGTGGGCGGGTGACGACGCCGTCGGCGTCTCGGGTATTCACAACGTGTGGGGGCTGAGAGCTGTATTGCCTGTCAAAGCTGACGGACGTCGCAAACTCTGCTGGTGGCGTGGGCGCACGACTACGAGATGTCGATTCGGGTCTGAGGATTACCAGATCTGTCAAGCAGAGACGCTTCGCTTCACGTCAGCTCCGTCTGCCTGAAGTGAGAGTTTTGAAATATGATGCGCAGACGGTATTCGGCGGCGAATGGTGTATGGGGCAGACCATTTTGTTCTGGAATTCAGGTTGTGCCTACCTGTGATAAGAAAATTGTTCCGCATAATCGTGCAAAACAGACATGACATCTTCTTAAGCTATAACCGAAAGCTTGTCTGTGTGTCCAGGTCACAAAAACACGATAATTTGAGTATAATACCTCCATGATAAATCGTCACTGTCCCATTTAACACCAGCAAATGAAGTTATTCATATGGATGCCAGTGCCTCGCTCTTCCGCGCTGCTATTTTGATCCATTTTCGTCTGAGATGGGCACATGCAATTGCAGTTTTCTTCGAAGCACTGCGGGCTTCGAAAGCATTATGCAACACCTTCACCGCAATGTGTTTATTTCAGGCCCGGCAGATGCGGCTATCCGGCGGTATACTGCGGCGACTTCCCCGTATAACAGCCGAGCTATAACTGGTGGTATCGAGGCAGGACGTGTGTACCCGTCAGCTGTGACGATGGCAGCCCCTCCTTCCCCCCTCTCCCCATTGTGAACCCTTGGTCATCTCGAGCCTGGCGTACTCGTGGCGACATTGAATTGGTCTACGGCGACGGACGCTTGAGCGGAATGCGGGAAGATACCTTGCCGCTGGTCGGCGTGTGTAGACCACGACTGCTGACGCTAGTGTTGGCGGAGCTGTTGCTGATGACACTGAGCCAGTCAGCCTCGCTGACGTCACGGACGGCACTGCCATCTGCTGGTGACCGGTGGGACCACGCTCCGCCCAGCGACGCGACCCTCAGAGCGGTCAGGGCACTCTGGACAGATCTGTCAGCTGACAGCGGACGTCAGCTGGTCAGCTCACCTCGCGACATCAGCAGTAGCAACGAAGGCAGAAGCCTGCCCATCTTCGGCTTTCTCAGCTTCTTGATGCTTTTGCTTAACAGTGTGCTGTTGATCAATCAAAACATTAATAATGATAATAACAATAATAATGATGACAATAATCAAAGAAGACTTAAGCGTCGAAGGCGGGAGGTTTTGCGAGGACTACAGCATCTGAGAAGAGGGAAGGCTAAATATGTATAATAAGCTCCTTTTGTTGATGAAATCTGTTGCTGCACCGCTGTCGACGCTTTTGGAAATCAGTTCTCACTTTCATGTTGACATTAATGACAGGGTGACGTTGCAGAATGTTCTGTTGTCTGCGTTTAATAGTCCTCCTAATGGAATGCCCAAGGCGAAATACAACATTTGGTTAGTATATGCATTGTTGAAACGAATGCACTGCAATGCAAAATGATTTCAATATTGGCGGCGTGGTTCATGACAGATGTTAAGTTACCTGGTAGATGATGTTATATCCTAAGCTAGTGAAGGTGGGCACTTTTGAAAACTCATAGAGATGGCTTTGATTAATGCAGTAAAAGCTCGTCCCTCTGGAGGGTTTAGCACACAGAACTCGCTCATGCAGTGTTCGCGTGGTAATTCGTAACTTGCATCGATTAAAGATGTCTGGGAATGGGCTTCTGTTTCTGTAGCGTTGGGTCTGGTCACAGCTGGCAATTGCAGTCCACCAAACCCACGATACAATTATCTTTAATAGCATCATACATTTTAAGCATGACTCGCGTTTGTGGTGACGGTGAACGAGGCATCGCAAAAAAACAGTATGTCGGATGGATATCGGTCATAGCAAATTGAGCCTGGAATGCGGCTTTCTCGCCCCATCTGTCTCGATTTGGCCAAGTGTGTTGCATTCGTGATCTGTTTCGGAACAAGAAACATCGGCCGCTTTGGCCAATGCCAATGATCCCAGTCACTTGCTGGCAAACCTAAGCAGTGGTCAGCACTGAAATGGGCTAGGCATTTCTGGCTGGCACATTCAGATGCACCCAGGCAATTAGCCTCAGATCGTTCTTCCCTCCTGTTAGCGAGATCAGCCGCTCTTTCAAAATGCGAACAACAAGATGCATCTATGGTTTCCGACCGAGCACGAGCAACCGCTTGTCTACGTCGACACATCTTTACCATTATGATTGGCCGTTATATTCTGTCAAATGGTGTGAGTTTCTGATTGGCACGACGCCGTCCCTGATTGGCGTCTGGTTGGCGGCGTGACCAGTGTCGTGACCAGTGTCGTGACACGTGTCGTGACGCGTATCGTAACCAGTGTCGTGACATGTGTCGTGACGCGTATCGTGACCAGTGTCGTGACCAGTGTCGTGACCAGTGTCGTGACCAGTGTCGTGACACGTGTCGTGACGCGTATCGTGACCAGTGTCGTGACCAGTGTCGTGACCAGTGTCGTGACACGTGTCGTGACGCGTATCGTGACCAGTGTCGTGACCAGTGTCGTGACACGTGCCGTGACGCGTATCGTGACCAGTGTTGTGACCAGTGTCGTGACGCGTATCGTGACACGTGTCGTGACCAGTGTCGTGACCGGTGCCGTGACTAGTGTCGTGACACGTGTCGTGACGCGTATCGTGACCAGTGTCGTGACCAGTGTTGTGACCAGTGTCGTGACGCGTATCGTGACACGTGTCGTGACCAATGTCGTGACCGGTGTCGTGACCAGTGTCGTGACACGTGTCGTGACGCCTATTGTGACCAGTGTCGTGACCAGTGTCGTGACACGTGTTCAGTTTTGCCCCATGCTGTGTAGTCTCTGGACAAATTGTGCGGTTATGTTTTGCTCATCGAATGGGGAATGTTGCGTCTTGTTTAAACTGTAGTGTTTAGGAAAATCGTGCCTCATCACATGGTTTACGTGCCAATTCACATGACGTTACTCAGCACGCCGTGGCGGCGGAACATCGATGGGGATGCTGGAGAGCATGCATTTTATTTCGATTCTTTCCATGCATCGTCGTAGTGTTTTTGTTAGGTATTATCCGGAATTGGAGGTGGGACAGCCGTCCATGACCCCCAACCCCTCCAATCCACTGCCTATGACGGTGCAACTTGTACAATATTGAGCTGCCTGCTGCGGAAAACTGTATGAAGATACGATTAGTAGTTGCTGAGGTATTTCCATAACAGAGAGCTGGAGCTGATAATTGTCTCGCTGTCCTTGTCAGCCTTGCTTGGCATGCGGTCTCGCTCCTAATATGTGTGGCGCCTTATTGAAACCACTGCTGTGCGCCGAATAATACGGAGAATGTACGTCCTGTTCTATGTGGAGGAATAGCGTACAATACAAGAAATGGGCATTATGGAAAGCTAGTGGCGCAGCGAACCTGCTGTTTTCGTCCCCGAAATATCTTAGACACAAAAGATTCAGAAGGGTGCAGCAGCAAACTAATTTCGCGGCAAGTTAGAATGCATTACTCCATGCCAGCTGCCCTATTTGCAAATGTACACCACGAACAGCGAGGAAAATGAGTTAACCAAATGCAAATGGCTCGGCCTAGTTCATCCGAAGGTAATATGGTTGAAACACATGCTCAAGCATTTGGAGACGTCTGTCTACTTTGTCATCGTCCGGTGTATTATACATAAATACATTTTCTAACAGACAAAGAAACGTGTTGGAACAGGTTGTCCAGCGGCAGCGATTACAGATAATTATATGAGATGTCAGGGACGTGCAGTGATACGGTCGAATAAAGTCACGATTCTGCATACTTCGGTAACGTGCAAGTTTGTGAACTTCATGAACATCTATAAAAGATGATGAAGGAAAAATAACCAAGTCTCCGTATATTGAAATATGGCTAAATGCTTAGACACTGAGGAGGCTATAAGGTTGACACGTTCGTTCTGCTTTATCTGTACTATTCTAACACACTGCGAGACGTTAAGTTATCGCTCCTTTTACAATCATGATCTCATGTCTTAGATTTACGCCCAACCTGACGAGGCCCGCCAGCTTTCGGCAAAACGATGAAGCCCAGTTCTAAAAGAGGTAAACGGAATCTAGCAAAAAAGCACTGACAATCCAGAGATACCGAAATACCAAGCTCAAGGCGCCATCACGTTTCGAACTCACCCCTCATTAGTTTTGCATCGCACTTTATTTATGCCTTGCTATTCACAAAGAATTCGATGGGCGTGCTTTGCCAATTAATACAGTTCCTTAATGTGGCAGATGGACTGTTACCGCAGACAAAATTTGGCACTCGGCAACAGCTCGCGGAAATGCTGTTCGCTGGAGTGGGGACGATAAAAGAGCTTAGCAAGATATCACTCAAGAAACAATTTTTCCATCTCATAGCGGGTCACCGACGGTAAAAATGTTACTTGTAAGAGCGGATACCGAACATATTTCCCATTTTACTAGCTTTTGCATATGTAGCATACAAAACGCTATAAGTTATGAGCTACGTTAGTATTCGTAATATAAAGAAAAAATCCGCATAATTTCTGATAATAAAAAACGACTGAGAACCAATCCTTGTGTGTGAATAAAATGCCACATCACCAAATCATGCACATAAGTAAAATCATCAGAAAGCATGATTTTTTGCAAGTTTTGATTACACTTAATGTGTAGTACCAGGCGACTTTTTACCTCTTTGATAACT